TTTACATATCTGACACTTGAGCTTTATATTTATATTTATAATACTTTGGTGTCATGAATCTATCCATGAAAACGTGCATTTCACCTTTAAATAGTATGCAATAGTGGTATTTTATATGTCATCTAAATGATTCGAGTAGTTTGCATATAAATATGAAATTTTTGGGGTTCGATATGTAAACATGTAAGAATTGTTTAGTATGTATGTAGCTATCTCATTTAAAAAAATTATATAATTATAAAAAAAATTTACAATTCTAAGAAATTATTTTATGGTTAACTAATTTGGACCAAATTTTTATTCCAATATATTCATTGAAATTTGTAAATATGAGTGCATATGAGTGCATATGTTTGATGAAAAACTTTTTTTTTAAAATTGATTTTATTATGATTTTTGAAGTATTATTTGTTTCCATAAAAATTAAAAAATGAAGAAAAATATGATGAAATTTTCTCAAGACCTCTCTCAAATTTTTTTCAAAGCAAAATTCTCTCAAATAATTTTAAGGGTTGATCTTTATTTGGGTTGTACATGAATCAATGCGCTTGATGAACAACTCAAACTCATCTCATTAATACTTTATCATATTTATTCAAAATAATAAATAAATAAATTTGAACTTCTTTTAAGAACTCAGAGCTTAAATTATCAAATTTGGAGATATTCCAATGCGTTCGTTATAGTTCGCTAAAAACTCATTTTTTGTTAATCAAGCAATTTGTTAAATGATCTATTACTTGTAATGAGATATTATTTAAATAAAATTATATTAATTTAAACTTATTTAATAGTAGTATATCATAATTTAATATCAATATGTATATAATTTTACTGCAATATTTTTTTTTATTTCAATGAACAAATGTGTTAGTACTTAATTATTCCATTTGATTAAAAAAATACTCATAACTTATATATTATTTTATTTACTTAATATAGGCTAATTAAATAAAATTTGAAATTTATTCAATTGTTTATTAGATTCATAAAATCATTTGTTAATAACTTTATATAAAAATTCAAACACTCATTTAAATCTTAATTTATTTACTAATTTTATATGAAAAATCATGCACAATAAAAGTTTTAATTTTATATGAAAAATTAGGTACTCATTTGAATTCTGTCTTTTAATTTATACAAACAAGTCAAATATAAACCAAGTATAAACATTAAAAATTATAAACAAACTATAAATAAATATATATGGGAAAGCTCCTCTCAAGCTCAAACTGAACATGAATAACTTATGAGTCGACCAAACTAAGTCCAAATCATGACATACTCAACATGGCTTAATTACAATCCTTTTCTCCATATACAAGAACTAGAGAGAAATGTATTGCCAATATGCTGCTGCCTTATAATTTACATTTTCAGCAGCATTTTTCTCACTTACATACATTCTAGCAAATTATTAAATTACGCAAGAAATTTAATATTTGCATGACCCACTTGTATTCTATATCAAATTCAATATTAGGCCTCCGTCAATTTACAGGAAAAAAAAAAAAAAAAAAAAAAAAAAAAAAAAACCACATGGGTGGTTAAAAGTGGCCATCCAATTAAGATCCATGAATTAGGGTTTGCAGGGCACCAAAGAATCAAAAAGGGAGGAGAAAGGCTAAAGAAAGTATAACGGTCTGAGTAGGCTAGCAGGCTATCAATAAAAGAGCACGTGTGAAAAATTGGTAAGGCAGAGATGGGAAAAAACTATAAAAATTAAATCCATTTTAGAACATACATTATATTTACCAGCAACCAGACCTTCCAAGCTTGATATTTAACTATTCAGGAGTTCCGTATATATACATCAAGCAGTATTTAATGACCATGACCAATGCTATCTTATAAGAAGATACATGGTTGGCAAGCATCATGTGATAAGCATATGAAATCTATGGGAAGAAGAACAGAATAATAAAGTCATAAGCCAGTAAGAAGAAGACAGAGTAATGCAGAAATCAGGGCCAATTAGTGAATTCAAACACTTTGTAAACAATTTCAATACCAGTGGGAATCTGCCATATAAAGAGCAGAACATTCAATGCGTTCAATGCAATGTGCAGATTTCTGGCTGTTTCATTTCCCTTCTGCATCTGAGGAACAAGTGCTGCTGCCAGCGCCCATAAGGTCGTGATCCCTACAAATCAACCTTACAAATCAGCCACACAAATGTTATGTATCAAAAACCAACAAACCAATAAAGTAAGGGCTCATGTGGTTGCTGGTAAACAGAAAATCTGCTTTAGAAACTGATGCCTTTATTTTAATTTATTTTGAGAGATGAAAATTATCACTTTTGAAGGCATTTTGACAAGGTTTGTAGACTATGAAGTTAATGTTGGTGTTTCGATGCATCAATATAAATGATAGATTTAATGAGCTTACCCATTTCTTAAAATATGGTTTCTAACATCAGGCAATCACACAAACTCTAGGTAAAACTGATGATCTACTATTCATTTCATTCATAACTACACTCTACAATATATAATGATAGATCTCAGAGATCAGGTGCAGTAATACCAACAGCATAAGGAAGAGAATTGATAGTTTCATCATTCGTGAGCATATATCTATACTAAAACTTAGAAAATACAATTTTCATAAGCCTTTGGTATTCTAAAAGCATATCAATACATATCACGCAAAATTTTCTTATCTAAATTTCAAACTGTATTGAAAACAATGAAATAGAGACATTGTTTTATAGTATGAAGCAAACTCTTACCCTGTATACCAGCTCGTTCTAACAGTTTTTAGCTACATATCTGGCTAGCTATAAATAGTTTTATATCTCAAACATAAATATGCCACAAAATTTTATAAGCTAAGAAAATTAGTATATCCTTGCCAATGCATCTTGAAAAAACTTAATGGAAGCAATTTAAAACACTTCTGTCTCAATGAAGGAGCGTCCTTACTAGCATGTACCAAACTTTTGATATCCGCTTTAAGAACTTCTTAATCATAAATTTAGCAATTTATAAATAATTATATATCTTGTTACAAAATATTTTAATAAAACGTTGTATCTTACATTTTATCTTCGAACTAACATCTGTTTACAATTAAAGCAGGACGAAGAAAGAGGAATATAAGAGAAACCATGAAAAGGATGGTCTGGATCACTGAGGTGTATTTTTAATCATAAAAATTAATGGATTACTGTGATAACTGATTAAACATATAGGATATATGTTTAAGCCATACCTGGATATAATTCTATACCAAAAGTACGTAGGGAAAAATTGTTCTGACAATAATGTAGTATCATGCATATACATTACCATTACAGTGTCAGCATGTAACTAATTTGCATTATACCGAACGCTGGCATGTTATGAAGAGCAAACAAATTTTATTAAAGTGCCCCAAAAAAAATTGATTACCACCAGCGGATTGATAGCGCTAACTCAAGGAATTAAACAATGAGTATCAGATAACTATGTTCTCTAGCATTATTAAAAAACTGCATCATCATGTCATGTTAAACCACAATATACAAAGTAAATTCTAAGAATTTGAGCAATCCCATCAATGTAGCATGTTATTGTCAATCTTAGCTTAAATTCCAGCCCACATGAAATCCGGAGTTGAGTACAATTCAAGTTGCAATCCGAATCAACAACTATTAACCAAATCTTACTATAACCATAGTTAGAGGACTTAAATCTCTTTATGTCCGAGCCAAATTGGCCATTTAAAATACCCAGTTGTAGCCTTTGGAAAGCATTAGATATGGCAGTTCCTAATTTGTTATTGATAGGAAATATCAAGAAACAATTCTCAACTTCAAACCATGGAAACTAAATCACACCGCGGAATAATAGAATAGCACCAATTCAAGGAAACTGGAACAAAAAATTAAATAGAAAGCACAATCAAAGCAACCAAAAATGCATAGGAGAATTTTATGTGAAAAAATCCGAGAAACGGAAAAAAACACAGAGCCACACCGCCAAAAATTCCGCTATGAAATTTAGAATGTTTTTACAAAGAACTCACACTAGTTTTTTTCTCTACGTAAAGAAATTTACAGGATTTACTCCACAATCTTCTCTCTCTGATCTGAAGCAAAAATCACGTTGGATCACTGAAATCCACCTCTTCGACTCTTATCACCTTCACCAGTATGCTTGTCGAAGAACACATAGGAAGAAACCCCAACTCATATTACTTACGCTGCTTGAATTTGAACTTAAAGCCAAAAATTTTGTGAAACTGTCCATGGCGCATGTGTGCCAAGCTTTTTGTCGCGCAACGCCTAAGTTGGGTGCTTAGGCGCCCAAAGGCTTGTGCCTATGCGCCAACTTCATTGTGCCCACGATAAGTGAGCGCATATACGCCAAATAGGTGGTGCATATGTGTCGGCTTTTCTGTTGTCGAGCTCATATGGTGGGCGCATATGCGCCCATAAGCTGGCGCATGTGTGCCAACTTCTCTGTTGCTTGGACTGCTTTGGCCTCACATCATAACAATCTCCCACTTAGAGATGATAGCATCGAGCACCAGTCCTCTGTACCTGCACCTTTATCTGAATTACCTTCATAGTAACGTACCATGGTCACGTACGTAGTGTGGCTCACCCCTGATCTCAACCTTCATGAAACCCAACAAAAATCAAGTGTAGCTTCAATTTCAAGAAGATATATCCAATGGATTTTGAGCTGTGTGTGTCTTCTCCATGAACAACTGCTCAACTTCAAGAAGAGAGCGAATAAAATGATAACTCATGTGAATGTGTTTCGTCCTGGCATGAAAAGCAGCATTCTAAGCAAGATGGATCACACTCATACTGTCACTGTAGAGTTTTTAAATCTCCTGCTCTTTGCCCAATTATGTCATAAAACTATGTAGTCATATCATCTCCTTGTTAGCCTCAGTGATAGCAATATATTCGGTCTTCATAGTTGAAAGTGCAACGATCTTCTGTAACCTGGAAGCCCAACTCATCATTGTATTCCCCAGTGTAAAGATATATCTCTTTGTACTCCTATCCACATCTCTTGTCATATCTAAATCTAAAATCCTTGTAGAATGATCCCTGCACTTCCATAGCAAAGTGTCATATTGACTGTTCCCCTCAAATACTTAAGAACCCACTTTATCCCCTCTTAATGATGCCTACCTGGATTGCCCATGTACTTGCTGACTACTCTCAATGCATATGCAATATCTGGTCTGGTACAAATCATCGCATACATCAAAATTCCAACAGCTGAAGCATACGGAGTTCTCTCCATTTGTGTTTGCTCCGCTCAGAGTTAGGCGATAGCTCTTGAGATAGTTTGAAGTGACTACCTAAGGGAGCGCTAACTGGTTACGCCCCACTCATGTTGAAACTCTGTAACATCTTCTCAAAATACTCCGCCCGAGACAACTTCAGTGTTCCTACATTCCTGTCCCTGTTGATCTCATCATGAGAATCTTTCTGGTTGGACCAAAATCCTTATCTCAAACCGAACTTGATAATTGTTTCTTCAGGTCCCTGTTATCTCCATATATGCCCCTATAATTAGCAAGTCATCCACATACAAAATAAGCAAAATATAATTGTTATTGAAGTGTTTGATGAAGCAACAATGGTCAACTTGACACTTCAGGTACTCATTATCTGACATGAACCTGTCAAACATTTTGTACCACTATCTCAGGATTTACTTCAAGCCATAGAGACTCTTCTTCAATCTGTAGACCAAACCTTCTTTGTCTGAAACCTTGTAACCTTGTGGTTGCACCATCTATAGCTCCTCCTTCAGATCTCCATATAAGAAAGCTGTTTTTACATCTATCTGCTCCAAATGTAGATCTTTTTCTGCTGCCAGACTCAGCATAACTCTAACAGTCATCTTCACCACTGGGGAGAAGATATTTGTGCAATCCACTCCTTTCCGCTGCTGGAAACCGTTCACAACAAGTCTTGCCTTATAAAGCTTGCCACCATCTGACTCCTCTTTTAATCTGGAGACTCACTTGTTGTGTAGTGCTCTTTTGTCATTTGATAGTACCGTTAAATTCCAAATCTGATTTGACTCCAAAGATTGTATTTCTTCATCCATGGAAATCTCTCACTCCTTGAGTAGCCATTTCAAAGCACTTTGTTTCACCACTATCCGTTAACAACAAATAGAGAAAAGAAGAAGAATACATGTGTACTGGTCGTATTACTCTTCTGGATGTTTTGGCTTCTGTAATAGGTAACTGAGAAACTTCTAATGCTCCTTCTGGCTGAGCACTTCTTTCTCTATCCTCCTGATCACCAGTATCTTCTATCTCACCTGAGTTATGACACTATCTTTGTACACCTCCATTTCATTGAAAATGACATCTCAGCTCTTAATGAATTTGTGATTCTGATAATACCAAAACTTTACCCAAATTCATCTGAGTTATATATCCAATGAAGGTGCACTTAACAGATTTCAAGTCAGCTTCATCTTGGACCCTGCATCAGCATGCACGTATGCAAAACACCCAAATACTCTTTAATGAGATAGGCATATATTTTTTGTCACTCCAGGCTTTTACAGGTAATCCTTCCTCCAAAGGTGCTGATGTACTACAGTTAATTACATAAATTGCAATATTTACTGCTTCAACCCAAAATTGTTTTGGCAAGCCAACATGCAGACTCATCCTCTTAGCATGCTCCATGATTATTCTATTAATGCGCTCAACTACATCATTCTGCTAAAGCCAACATGCAGACTCATCCTCTTAGCATGCTCCGTGATTATTCTATTAATGCGCTCAACTACATTCTGCTGCGTTGTCCTTGGAACAGTGAACTCATGCCTGACTCATTCTGTAGCACAGAAATTTGTGAACTCTTGATCACGATACACGTTTTTTATTATCTGATCTGAGATACTTCAACTTCAAGCATGTCTCATTTTCTAGCATAGCCTTCCACTTATTAAATATTTCATATACATCAGATTTTTGCTTTAAGAAACAAACTCATCTTTTTCGTGTGATCATCAATGAACATATGCCAAAATAGCAAGAATCTCCAATGGACTGAACTGGAGTAAGACCCCATACATCAGCATGCACTAACTTCGATTTCTTTAATTTCACCTAAATCCACTATCAAAGATTGAGTGTTGGTTAGGGACAACACCAAGGAGTCATTTT